TTCACACAGGCCCGGACAGAGATGACCCCCCCCCCCGACAGATTCCACCCCTTGAACAGTGCGAGGGGCAGCTTACCTGGAACCGGACTGAGACAACTGCCCCACAGATTTCTTCCCCCACCATGAACTGTTCTCCCAACATGGCCAGAATGAGATTCTCCCAGCAGCGGGATGCTAAGCCCTTGCGCAGGCGGATAATCCACTTGCCACCGTTTTTGTTGGCATCGTCCTGGGAAAAGGGGGGAAGAAAGCGACTCATTTTGTTCCAGCTATTTTGCAGCAGCCTCACAAATGAGCAAACATCAAGTAGGACCACGAGGAACAGAATGAAAGACGGTTAATGCTAAAACTTTATCCCGTCTACCCAGGCTACTGAGGGAGGAGGCATGACAAGGGAATCCTGAATGCCAAGCAGCAGTTAAAACAAGGACTCTCCCCAGAGATTTCACAGATCTTCCCGCTATTCATGGAGTACTTGAGCTCTGCTTGACTCTGAATTAGGACAGTGTGACACATGGTTTCACTATGATCTGGTGGACTGCAGGTGGAACTCGGGGATAGGAATTCTTGAATTCTTCTAATCTCCAGCACAGATTCCCCCTCTAGATTTCGGCAGGTCACCTCTAATCTGCGATTCAGCTTTCCCAGCTGTAAAACGGGGATAATGCCTAACTACATCATTGGGAGGTTTAGGCTAATTAAAAGCAAAGGAAAAACTGCAGAGAAAAAATCACGTTCCAAGAACTGAGGAAAATACAGAACTGCAATGAGCCGCCGTAAGATTGGAGACGTTATAGACCTAGCCCTGATAACTATTGCTGCCATCGCACAGGCAGGCTGAAGATTTCAGTGCAGAAGGTAAGAACGGTTACATGCAAGAAGGAACACAATCTGCCCAAAGCCCAGGAACATGGCAAATTACTGACAGGAACAGACTACCTTTCGAGAAAATGTTCAGGACTGGGAGAACAGAACGTCCCCCTTTAGAGATAAGCTGTTTGGGATTCAGTTCTTAGCAGGGAGTTTAGTTTAACCCCGCAAAGACCTTTCCACACTGACTACGGCAGGCAAGGAAGCAAAAGGAGCAGATGTGATTGCTGAGGACAATCAGAAGAGACTTAGGAGGTTTTCAGGGCCAGAAGAACAGTGGCTGGAGTGGCGGGACTGGGCCTTGTAGTTATGGGTTATGGAAAGATTTCTTTCAGGTTGAGTGCACCTCAGTTTAGCCAGTAGCAATGCTCCCTCTAATTTTCCCCATGAACGTGTGGAATGAATTTTGTTATGTGCACCAATTGAGGTGATGCATATAGGGATGTAATAGTGTAGTCCATTAACCGATAAGCAAAAGCTTATCAGTTAATGCTATAGACTAGGCACATCCACCCCACCTTACCAGTAAATTTTTTAGCAGGCTGGCAAGCAGCCCAGCTCAGTCCTGGCTTGCGCTGGGTCTGGGAGTCCAGACCCTTACCCTGGACAGGGGCTGCTGCCACCCCACACTGCTGCCTCTATATCAGAGGCAGCAGCGCTGGTCTGCGAGGGGGAGCTGGTTTTTAAACTGGCTTCCCTCACAGACCAGGTCCTGCCTGGCATCCCATGCTGCTGCCTCCGATACAGAGGCAGCAGCACAGAGTGGCAGGGGGCTTCTCGGGAGTGAGGCTGGAGCGCACTGGGGACTACAGAACAGTTGAACAACCTATATGAGTTCATAAGGTTAACTGACTATTCAAATTAAACAATATTTAACATGCCTAGATGCATGGCAGGGGGTGGGGCTGACAGGTTTGGAGTGCAGGAAGGGGCTCAGAGCTGGGGCAGAGGGTTGCAGAATGTGGGGATGAGGGCTCTAGAATAGGGCCAGGGATGAGGGGTTGAGGGCATGGGAGGAGATTCAGGTCTGGGACAGAGGGTTGGAGTTTATGGGGAGGGAGTGGGGCCAGGAATGAGGGATTCAGAGTGCAGAAGGGGGCTTGGGGCTGAGGGGTTTGGGATGCAGGCTGCCCTGAGGGTAGGGGGAGAAGCACTTCTCCCCACCACAGCCCTGAGAACCTGCGTCGCCCTTGACATACGCTACCATGTGGCTGCCCAGCTCAGCAGTTGAATCTCCCTTTGTCAGATAAGCGGCTCGATTTCCCAGCATAGTAAACAGCCAAGAACATTAAACTTGACGCTTCCAACATCCTGGTCACTGCCCTCTCAACACATGCGCAACGCAGGTACCCGAAATGAAAAGAAACATTTTAAGGTGGATCAGAAGAAATGCTTTTTAAAGGGTTGACATCTGTGGAACCTTCTGCTGCAACATTTTCTCAAAGTGTCTACCTTACGGAGAGCGCAAAAGGGATTCGACATTTATATTAGAACAGCATCTGTAGCAACATGAGCTATAAATCCCACGCCTCAGGGCATATCCTAATTGCCCAGTGGGCTCAGAAATCATTTCTTCAAGGCAGAGCAGGCCAGTTACATGCTCCATAGCTAAACATAAAATCCTCATACAGCAAATGGTTCTGGGCATCGTGAGGGGCAGGTGGGCAAGTGAGAGGGAAAAGCAGCCTGGTGTGGCAACTGCCATGCAGAACTGCTATCTGGCTACTGCCCAGAAACAAGCCGAATTCCAAAAAAAAGGAAGACAGGAAATCCGATCTATGCCTCCCTGCCCGCCCCCAGATTCTGTGTTTATCATGACTGTTTAGTCCCAGTGCCTACGCTGCCACAGACACTTGCTTCTTCCTTACACACAAGGAGAGAAGACGGACTCCTTCATTCAAGCTGCAGTCAACAGAATCAGCCCAAACAAGGTGCATGTGTCACAAAACAGCAGACAATAACTTAGCCAAATTCCCTTGGGCCACAACTTCTGGAGTCTCTCTGGAATCTGTTGTCTTGCATGCAGGCAACTGATCGCTCAAGGCAATTTTCCTCCGTCTCAGGAACAGCAGTAGCTTGAATTGCTCCCAAACATGCAGGCAGGGCAAGCCTCTCATTAGTTGTGTCAGTACAAGAGAAAGGGCTCTACAGGAGGACAAGTGTAACCGCAGCTGGAATGACAGCCTGGCTTGACATTTCACGCTAGGAGACCAGTCACTGCAGCAACTGCTCTGCCAGGACAGACCCGCTAATAATCCAAGGCAGACACCCAAGCATCAACTCACCTCCCACATGGGTTTGATTCCCTCTTTGAAGAGATGGAAGTCGCTATGGCCTGTCAGGTCCCCAGGACGCACCATGTGACTGTAAAACCTCCAGAACTGCTCCACCTGTAACGCCACATGTGCCAGGCAGTCAGACAAGTCATCCAATAAGGCTTCCGACACTTTAGAAGGGGGGCACCACAAAGGCAGGACTCAGGTTTCGGGGGCAGATGTATACCCTCCCCATCCGGCTTGAGTCTCTCTCCCTCCAGTGGCGCTGCTCAGCGCCGCTTCCCTGACAGACTGCACGGAAGGCCGCGGTCCTTACAGACATTCAGAAACAGAACGGTGGGATTAAAAGGGCTCGTGCAGGTGTTTCTGGGAGAGGTTACAGCAGAGCAGCAGTCATACAAAATAATTCAGGGAAGTCTGTGTAAGGAAAACCCAAGTGGAACGGAGGCTGCTGTGGAGGACAGTACCATGAGATGCAAAGTCCCATCCAAGCACCTCAATTTGCAGGCACCAATGGTTGAAAGCATCTCAGCAGAGGGATAAGCTACCGGCCGCTCTCTCCATGCAACACAGAGCCTCATTAGTACGGCACAGCCTTCCTCTCTATGACAGCGGGAACTCCTGAAACTACTCCCCACCAGAGCCTTCAACCAAGGAATGATTGGAGTTTGACCGTAGGTGCTTACAGGACAATATACACATCCTGGTGCTGGTTTAGGAACTTAAACCACCTTTGAAAATGCACATTCATACGGTTGCCTAAATCAGCGCATAGGGCCAGCCCCTGGAACCACTGAATTCAATAGTATATCTCTCCAATTTGGTACAATGGTGCATGATCAGAACTTGTTATTATAGAAGGATGGATTCATTTTCATACAAAAAAATTGCACATTTTACAGGAGTCTGTCCAATAAGGAAGTAAACAACAGTTTTGGAAGGGCTGCCAAACGAGTTGAACAAGAGCAATGCCGCAATGATTAGGAGAAAGCCTGATAGTACGGCCACCAATTTAACCTCAGGAATTATACTCCAAGCTTCTGTACTTATCTTTCGGGGGGAAAAATACCTTTCAAGAGCTGAACTTATTATGGACCCAAGAAATGAGGGGAGAAAATCTTGTTGAATATGGTCTGTCATTACAGTATGGTGAAGACATTAGTTTCCTGTGCCCTCTAGTGGCTAATTCTGTATTTGCAAATGCCTAGTGATATTTGGCCAAACTTACGAGGCTTGCATTCAAAATGATGCTTTTCCTTAAACCTTTTCTCCCTTCCCCTTGAAATCAGCTATCCTCCTGTAAACAAGTCTTCTCCTGAAGATAAAAATCTCCTATCCCACATGAAAGTGGGGCATTTCCAGGTGTTTCAATGCTGGTGTTTCAATAAGTTTGTCCTTGCTCTTGATTGTAGTTAAGCAAAAGATTCACAAGTTCTTCACAAAGCGGTAGCCATGTTAGTCTGATCTTGGTAAGACAAAAAAGCAGTCATATAGCATTTTGTAAAGACTAACAAAATAGTTTATTAGGTGATGAGCTTTATAAACTATTTTGTTAGTCTTTAAAGTGCTGCATGACTGCTTTTTTGTTTTACCAAGTTCTTTACAGTTCCTTTTTAAAAACATGTCAATGCGTGTGTAGGTTGTTTTGTTGGACAGCTACTGCCAGTCTCACCACATACATAACAGTCATGCTGGTTCCTCTCTGTTCGGGCTAGAGCCCTGAGCGGATTCAAAATTTGTATCCACATCTCTAGCCACAAAAATGAACCGCAGATATCTGCACTGACATCTATGGATGCAGATACCCAAGGATTTGCAGGGCTCTAGTTTGGGTCTGTTTCTTTTCACTACAGCTGGGAGAGCAGATAAGCACAATTCACTTGTGGAAGAGAAACTGATGAATCAGAGGGGTCAACTCATGACCAAATTTCTGCCCAACCCTGTCCCCATTTCTGAGGAATAGTATCACCCAGATGTCTGGACAGGCACACATGACACCTCCATACATTAAATATGTGTAGACTAATAGACTGTTCTCTTTTTAACAACCTGCCTCCAAAGTTGTGTGAAAGGAACAGGATATTTTAACATTTCAAATGGTCCAGTACAGAGTTCCAAAGCAGACAGGATTAACACGCTGACAGGGACCTTGGGAAAATTCATGGAACAACAAATTGATCTACCATGTTCCCTCTGTGCTCCACATCATGCTGAACAATTTCTGAAAATATTCAAAAGTGAACACAGTGGCTGGGTTTGAATTTAGGGTAACTTGCCTGGATGGTGACATTGCATTTGTTTCTGCAAGATTTGGCAGTGATTTCTACATGTGTTTCCCACTTCTCCTTGCTTTACCAGAGTATTTGAGAAGGCCACTGCTACCAAACTTGGGTTTTCAGTCCTCACCACCATGGAGAGGAAAGGAAGCACTTCATCAAGAGATACAGGCCCTCTGCTATTTACACGGATAGAACAGACAAACGTCTGCGCCACGTATATTATTCATGAAGGGGATGCATGTAGATAGGAATTTACAACATTACTCCCAGAAGCAATGGACAGAAAAGCTTTTGATTTATGATGCACACATCAGTGGGAAAAGATCAGTAGGCTGAATTACAGCCATGGGACTGTAGGTTTGTTCTTAAGTTGAATTTGTATGTAAGTCGGAACTGGTACATATTGTAGGGGAAACTCTAGCCAAACATTTCTCCAGAGCTCAGTTTTATTCTTCCACACCTCACTTCCCTCAGTCCTTTATTCTCAAGCTGAGGTGTCTGCTGAGAAAAGCCGCTCCACGTCTCCCTGGTCTGCTGGGTGGGGGGGGGGGGGGGGGCGCTAGCTTTGCGTCTCCCTAGTCTGCTGGGGGGAAGCAGCTAGTGCGGGGTTGCCTCACCCCGTTTGTAAGTAGGGATCCGATGTAAGTCGGATCCATGTAACCCGGGGACTGCCTGTATAGGGAAAAATCACTTCCTCCCTTACACAAGTCAGGCTCAGGACTTGGCAGGTGAGTATCTATTGCCAGACATAAGGAGGAATGGAAATGCTTCTTACATGCCATTACTTTCAAGCTGAGGGAGTTCTGTTTCCACTGCTACCATCAGTGAAGGCCCCACCCCTAGAACAAGGCAGGCAATGCTGCTTCCTGGTCTCTTTTAGGGCTGTCATCTATTGTAGGTGAATCAGAAGCCAACACTATGGCCACAGCAGATGAACTGTTTTCCTTTATGTTTTGTGAAAGGTATATAACCACAGAGAAAAGTCTACTCCCAGAACCTGCCCTATGTTTGGTCACTAAAATGGAACAACTGGAGTGTACTCACCGAGGCAAAAGTGCCAATCTGTTTGATGTTCTGTTCGTAGCTCTGAGAGCTGGTGGGTCTCCCAGGTGTTCGTCTGGAGTACCAGAACGTATAATTATACTGCAGGGGGTGCTCAGCCGGCCCTGGGACAACAGCCTGGGGAACAGAGAAGCTCATTTATCCTCTCACATGTCTCTCCAGGGAAGACTGAACAAGTGACATTCATAGCATTAGAAGCCCACACCATTAGACGCTCCCAATGTAAGATGAACGGTGTACCTCATTTTCCTAGAAAAATCTCATCTCACGTTAATAGCTTGACACAGACCATTAGTTTGACAGCAACTGACTAGATTTCATATCGAATATTAGACAGCCCTAGCACATTTGTTCCCCAATCTGGTAGGACTAGGTGCGCTAACGATGCTGCTGCTTACTCCCAAGAGGAACGTCTCTCAATAGAAAGTCCTCCTGACGATTGAGGAGCATTAACTCTGCATTAAATTCTCTTTAGTCCCTGGCAGCAAAGAAACGCAGACCATTTAAAAAGCCCACAGCTGATGTGGGAAAGTGATGGGAAGCTCCCCCACACCAAGACTTTCCAAAAAGCTGTCTGGGGAAGAGTCCAGCTTTGCTTTCCATCTCCATATGGACCACAATTTGCTATGCAAAGAGTTCTGGCTGCACTAGCAGAGAAAATACTTCAGCTTGGCTCATGTTCAGGTAACTCAAAGTCTATTTAACATGGCTCCCCATCACGATGCTATCACAGCACTAAGCCAGGACAGTATTCCTAGATATACTCCATACACTGAGACACATTGACCACAAGCAGATGCCAGAATTTCAAGCCTAAAATTGTCCCTTGATTATGGCAGGAGATGTCAAGAACTCACCTTCCTCTTGGTGCTACTCTGGGATTTGTCACGATCATTTTTCTCCTTCTCACCATCTTTCTGTGTGCTGTTCTCTTCGTTCTGGTCATGGTCCCCACTATCATCATCTTTCAAACTAACAAAGGCAAGGGACAAAGAATGAGCTTTATGGCTCCTGGCTGAGGTGCCATCCTACAAAATCAGACTTACATTACTTGACCCCTCCTCCAAGACACAAACCACTGGCAGAAAGGAGTCTATGTTGGAAGTCTACTGACGACAGATTCTTACACACGAGAAAGCCTACACGCCCTACACCTGTCTCAGACCACTTGGCCTACAGGCACCCCAAACTTAAGCATCAACTCTTAACAGGGAACTAAGCAAAGATATTTATAACATACACATCACTAAGGGGCCTATTCACCAACTAATACTGACAGCAATCAGCTAAAGAAGGGAAAAGAGGCCAAGTTCCTCAAGTCTCAGAAGGATAGCTGTGTTAATCTGTAAATTTAAAAGCAATGAATAGTGCTGTGGCACTTTAGAGACTAACAAAAATATAAAGACTCATGAGCTTTCATGGGTAAAACCCACTTCATCGCAAGAGCTCATGAGTCTATATATTTTTGTTAGTCTCTAAGGTGCCACAGGACTACCTGAGTTTCTAAAGGTATGTATACACCACAAATTCTACAGTGGCACACCTGCAGCTTTGCTGCATAGATACTTAGAGCCCTGCAAATCTGTGGACACCCACTTTATATCCACAGAGGTGGATGCAAATATCTACAGATCATTTTCGCAGCTGCAGATACAAATTAGGTATCCAGGCCAGGCTCTACAGATACTTACTGCAGCAATAGAAAGTGTTTTTTCCAATCACTGGAATAAATCTACTCCTTCAGGTTAATAAAAGAATTTTTCTGTCAACTTAGTGGTATCTACTCTGGGGATCGGGGCAGCATAACTAGCGATGTAAACTGTGGGTTAACCAGTTAAAGACTACGTCTAGCCGGTTAATCCTGGAGCAGCCCCCTGCCTGCGCCATGACGCTGTGAGTCGGGGGGAGAAGGAGGCCTGCTACGCTGCTCTGGCTGGACCCCAATTAGCCAGTCAGTAGGTAAGCTTACCAGTCAGGCTGATGCTCACCGGGTAACTGGTTAACCCTTTGCATCCCGAGCCTTCACTACAGCTCTCCAGGAGGTGACTTTTCCAGCCCCCGGGGCTGCCCTGCGCCTGGGCCCGCAGGGCGTGAGCGAGTCGAACCCCAAGGCGGATCTTGCACGGAACCGGCCTCCCAACGCTCCCGAGACCGGCACCGGGGCAAAGACCGGA